AAACCAGTCAGTGAGCAGACAGTGTGAAGCTGCATGGACTTTCTGTGTGTTTCCCTGATGATGTGTGCGTTCTTGAGGAAATGTGAGTGATTTCTGCTTGTAGTTATGGATAGTTTGTGATAGTGTGTGATGTGATGAACATTAATACAAAGTACTTAATAGGATTCTTTTAGACAGATATAGTGTTTCCTTCTCATTGTTCTATTAGCTCTTTGGTTGAAAGCGGTGTCTAGATCCCGAAGAAGGTCTTGCGACCCCTAGTGAAGCTTGGGCAACCTATAGTGTGGGTCCTGGCCCCCAGGTCGGGAATGAATGAACTTACTGTTGGATCCAAAGCTTTGTATTATCTGTGCCAAACCAATAGCAAAATCCAAGAAACAAGATCTTTATGTCAAGAATCCAAAGGTAAAATGCCTTCGAGAATACTAAACGTTGAAGAATACATACTCTCCTTCAAAATAAAATATCATACCATGTATCATGTAGAGCAAACTACTCCAGTAACATCAATGAACATCTGCTCATAGAGAGAGGCTCCCTACTTAGCCAAAATTTTTCAATATACGAAGGGATTGCTTCATTTGTGGTAAAGATAGTATCATACCAGAATGTCTGACACCTATTACAACAGGTACAGGCAAGAGTACCAGAGACAAGGTCCTTAATCTGAGGACCCAAATGAGGCAAATGAGCAAGGTAAATATAAATCCTGCGAGTTGAAAAAAAGGCTTCTTCAACATTACAATGACACGCTGGTATTTTTTTAATATGCTGAAAAAACACTGTGCTTTAGGAATATGTCCATTGGGACATTGAGAGCAGCTACTCAACTCAAGACAGATGACTGTAAGACAACACTTCCAAAGACATTGACAATTTTTCTGATTCAGATCTTACACAAGGTTGCAGAAATATTGTGGATGGAGAATGTCGAACACTAATGCTGGTTCTATGTTAGCAGTGATCAGCTTTCTCGTGTTCAGTGCATCACATATGTGCCTGACCTTCTATATGACTATGAAAATTAGTGTGTTGATTCAATGAGCTCAGTGCAATGCTCCACTGTGTGTCTTGTGATGAGGTTAGGTCACTTTCTCACATCAGTGGCAGCAGACCAGATGTCAAGGGCAGAAAGGTCATTTACACCCATTTAATTTTTTGTTGGTACATGTCATACATGTCTTACTGTAGATTATTGACCATACCTGCTACAGTTACATATCATAAATGTCTAGATCCAGCACAGTCAGACCCTTCTAACAAACCCTGGTTGGTGTTTCTGGGACAAAAGCTAACCTAAAGAAAATGTATACATTCATCATAGACCATCATATTTGATGTTTCCGCCTATTGTACTTCTGTGTTTATAGTACTGTATTTCCTCAGTGCATCAATATATTCAAATTCTGTCATGCAGACATGTAGAGGAACCCCTTGTCCACTTAAATCTGGGATCAATCAAAGCTTGCATTACAAAATTACATGGGTTAAGGTGTATTGTCTCCCATTTGGCTGGGCTCTATTTTGTACTTTTAATTATGGGTCTGCCACAATATCTCTCAATTTAATCACTTTTTCAGTAAAATATTTTTATACAAGAATCCATTTCATATATGGGATTTCTTTGAGAATATAAAAAAACATTGTTGTGCTCTGTCCTACCTCCCAGAGTTTCTGAAAATAATTTTATAAGGAGTATGGTCTAGACTCTATATTAAAAGTGTCCTGAGATAACTTCATATGATTTTGACACTATATAAGTAAAACTGAGTTGACTTGAACTGAAACTATTCAGAAATATATATTAAGGCTGTATCTTCAGGCTGAACCCACAGAGATAAAAAGTTATCTCAGAATTTATTAGCACCAGATTATCCTACAGGAGCTTCAGCATTTTAAACAGAGAGTAATTTCTGAAACTACATTTCCATTTGGATTAAGTATTTTAGGAGCAACACTTACAGTCCTCTGTGCGATAGTACCAGCGAAGGTATTCTCTCTGTTCCTCCGTCATGGCTGCCAGGTTGCCCGTCTGCTCCTCAAACTCTTCTGGATCATCAGACGCCCTCCTGGATCCTGGAGGAAGAACAAGATAGATAGATAGATAGATAGATATTTAGATAGATACTTTATTTATCCCGAGGGAAATTCAAGTATCCCGGGGGAAATTCAAACACACACAAGAGTGAATAAATAAAAAAGCGTAGCTTTTATTATCCTCAGAAATAATCAAAATCATTAAATGTATCCAAAACCTTTTGCTTAACCAAGTCAATTACTGATCATTTGTAAACAAATTTATCTCAATATTTTAGTGAAGTTATTAAGCTCTAAAAACCCACTACCTGCTCAGCATCAAACAGCAGACAAACACAGAAAGAGACTAGCTGGTGAACATAGTGGAGCACATTTTAGCTAAAGAGTCAGACATTTCCCTCAAACGTTGGTAGAGAAACAGAACTCAAACAGGGTGAATTTTGGTGGACACCACTAAAATGAATAATAACTGCTGGATATAGGAAAAAGCATCACCACATAAACTTAAAAGTCGATTATACAATGTTGTATTTACTACTTGTTTCTGCTGAATGCAAAAACAAACAATAAACAAACAAAAACTGTTATTGTAGGTTTTAGTAAAAGGACTGAGTATTTCTTCAAATACTCTATGCTTGCATGTAAAATACTAATAGGCATACAAATATGGAATATAGAAATAATTCTGATGCACCTATGCTACTTTTTAAAAATGTATGGAGTGGATGTGTATCGCCTTTTTTTTTTTTTGTTACATACTGAATTCTTTGCCTTTCAATGACTCAGGTTAAGAGTACCCTATCCAGTGTGGGTGGGGATGTTAGATTTGTGAGTTTAAACTGTAAGGGCCTTAATAATCCAATCAAGCGCAGTAAAGTGTTGCACTACTTACGCCACCTCGATGCTCATATAATATACTTGCAGGAAACCCATTTAAAAGAGATAGATAGTGTTAAATGAAAGAAGACGGTCGGAAAATGTGATACCATTTATCAGTTTTTCCAGTAAATCTAGAGGGGTTGCTGATTCGTTTGCACATGAGAGCTATCCTTTTGCTCACGTGCAATGACACATCTCTGACTTCTGCTGGGCAGGGGTGTTATAGGCTTGTGCGATGGGATCACAGGGTCTGGATTTAAAGGTGACTCTGCTAGTGATTGTTTATGCACCCCAACTGGGATGATGAGTTCCGTTGCTTTTTAGTTTCTCAATGCTGACTGGACTTGCCATGTATGATTTAATCTGTAGGAGGGGACTGTTGAATGCTGGCTGAATTCCTGTCCTTAGATCGTTTCTTCCTCGCAAGCGCGGTCGGCGGCTGCCTGGTCCAAATTGACCAATCAGTGATTGCAAGCCTTTATGAGATGAGGTGGTTAATGGTGTTGGATCCTTGAGGTTTTTTAATCGCGGAGTACAAAATACTCATTGTGTCCTCCCATAATTCAGGCGGCGGTGATAGTGTATTATCACAAATTGGACTTCGTTTTTAGGTGGATAACAAGTTGTTATCCCTCCACTTTCTGGGGCTCGTAGAATATGATTCGATTGTTCGTGTCGGACCATGCCTGCTCTATTGGTCGTGTGATTGTATGGTTACTTTGCAGAAGTGTGGTTAATGACAAGATCCACCATGGCCCGCCGTAGATACACAGTTTACCTGTTAGTACAGACTTTATTAGAAGGTTTTGTTTCTGAGCAAGTTAGAATTCTGTTTTTGGAGCGGTTAACAAAACTCCAGAAAAGAGATTACTTTCCTGAAAGGGCTGGAGGTCCTTCAACATCTGCAAAAACTGCTGAGATGTTTATACCAGTTGTGGAGGCAACGTCCTCATTTTATGCTAGTAGTTGCTGGGGAGTGAAAGCAGCAAGGAAGAGAGACCGGTCCGATTCCTGGACAGACTGTGAGAGAGAAAGCTGGGCTCGGAGTTGTTGGGACCACCAGAGCTAGAACTCTGGTGGACCAGTGTCAAGTAAGAGAGAGGAACAAAACTTGCTGTCCATTTGACTAGGACCAAACGCCCACACACCCTCTGCACACAGCACCTTCACTCAGGCAGAGACTGTTGTTCAAGTGGCAGGAAAGTGCTGAGTCACACAATCCAGCTCCTACCGACAGAACCTAAAAACCTCTTATCGTCCCCCATGCTGTGGCCATGGCAAACGTACAACCTATCCTAGTCAAGGCAGGGAGGACAATAGACAACTAGGACAATGTGGTATATCCTCCATTGCACTGTTTTACTGTATTTGCATATGTTTTAACTATGGCTACATGTGTTATAAGTTAAAATTTGTATTTAATTTTTAAATTTTATTTGAATATAGGATTTATGTATGTTTATAAATCTCATGTATGATCTTCATATGTTGAACATGATACTCTATATGAATTTCCGTCCGGGATAATAATGTATCTATCAAATTTATCTATCTAGTTCTATCTATCTATCTTAGTCTATATACCCTATCTATCTTACTGGTGGATGGAGGGCCGTCTGTTTTCACACCATCGCTCCACATCAATGGAACTGGTATCCTCTATTACTTGAATGCAGCTGTTCTACCAGACACGCTGTCTCAGGTTTGGTTGGACTTAACACGGGATGCTTGGTACACCATCCCCGTTTTTGCCCTGTTCTTTTGGCTTTCCTGATTTTGATGTCATGTGTGGGCTAAGCGCGAGCGTGGAGTTTTTTAAAATGTTAAATAAGTGCGGAACTATCAAGATAACGGAGGGAAGTGAATAAATTAGGGACCCTCCTCGACAACGCCCCCTGGGGACTTGCAGCCCACATGGATATTGAAAGACAATTTATTAAAGGGCAACAGGTTCGAAAC